TTTTCAATGGAGCTTATTCTTAGCATGTTCAAAATAAGCAAATTCATCTCTTTAAGCCAATGTTTAATTTGGATTATTATGCCAATAAAATCTGGGTGAATAAAGATATGCAAAGTGCAAGACTGTAAATTAATGGGAAAAAAAAAAAACCTTTCCCATTTAAAACAACACACACACACAATCATATGCACACACACACATACACACACCCACACACCCACACACCCAATTAAGATTCTTGGCCACGTAGATTTATAGCATTTATATATTTTGTTCCTCTGGGTGTGAAAAAGTGAAGGAGGGTGTCCCTAAGATTCTTCCTGTAAATTTTTTTCCTATATATGGAAAACATGTTTAAAATCCTGGTGGGAAGTAACTTCCTCCAGTTCAGAGAAATGGTTAGAGGGAATATTTGTTACTGTGTACTAAGAAACACCAGTCTGGAAAATTCCCACTCGGTTCTTCCCCCAGTGCTTCATAGTTCTCCCATTGGCTCATGGGCTTGCGAAGCTTCATAGTCAATATTTTCCAAAAAGGATGCCAGTCTTTCTTGTCCCTTTTTTAAAGGGTGAAAGAGAACATCGAAGCGGTACCGAAAGAGAGTCTGAACTGAATTTGGGGTTTGGGCAATAAGCCTAGATGGGCAGCTGAAACCAGAATGTTAATGTCAGGAGGAGGGGAACTCAACCTAATGGGATTTCCAAGACCCACTGTTGAAAGTTCTCAAGACAGTTATGCAGCATCCTCAATGCCGAAGTCGGTCCTTTGCAAAAGTACCCCCAAGCAAGAAAACCATCAGGTCACAGATCATTCTGAAGAATCAACACAGTGTCACAGGCTGTTGACAGGTTGACATCTAAGGGTCATGGACCAGTTTTCTTTGGGGGATGCCCTCATAGAGTGGAAGTGTTGCATCAGCAAAATGTCACTGAAAGCTGTCACCAAATACAGTAAACAAGGCAAAGCACTGCTTATTCATGCACTGATGGCCCAGTAAATCAAGAGTTCTCAATGACTGCTGACGGCTGCAACAGAATATTGTATTAAAGAAGTTTCTCGGTCCAAACACAGATACATAAAGCCCTACAGAGAATGGCAATGCCAGGATTCTTCCCAACTGTGATGTTTGGCATTTTCCTCCACGTTTTTCTTTCTTGACCTAGTTTAGCCAAACTCCTATGGCAGTACTTGTCATTTACAAGCACTGGAAAGCAGGTGTAAACAGAAAGTGACTAACAAGTGCGTGTAGCATGAAAAGACTGATACTCACTTTTGTAAGAAGGTAATCAACAATTAATGAATGGCAGCAGTGGCCTTCAGCAAAGGCTCTGAGTCAGAGGCACCAGGAATCTAGTCCTAACTCTTTCATGGACTTGAACTATGACCCTAGGATATTATTTAATGTCTCTGAGCCTCAGTTTCCTCACCTTTAAAATGGGAACAATAATAGTGCCTATTCTATGGGATGGTAGAAAGCACTAAATTAAATGAGATAAGTGAAGCACTTAGTACAGTGTCTGGCACATAGTAAGTTATGAAAATATGTTAGCTACTTTTATAACAATAATTATTATGATTATTATCATCATTACTAGTTATAATTAGAACATGCTTTTCAAAAGTGATCACTTTGAATTTAACTTGTATGCCATCTGATCTGGAAGTATAATGAGGGTATCCAATTCCTACTGATTTAGTGAGTCAAACAGAAAACCAAAACAAATTGAATCATTCAACTGGTGTATTTAGAATTGCTGATGATTATAGCATTCAAGAAAGTTAGTGAAATACATAAATTGCAATTGAACTGTTCTTGAAAATCCCCCAAATCAGTTTTCATTTGTCTAGCCTAATGGTGGGTAGGACTTGTTCATTTTTAAAATGTATATTTAGAACCTTCCAAAAAGGAAACCTTGTGGAATGTGAACATGGAGGAGACAAAAGGTGTTAATACAAAGGGAATATGCCCAAATCATGTATGTTCCATCTTTGAAAACAAAGAAGAATGTATTGCATTCACATGTCGCTTTATGCTTTTTGTGGAATTCTCTATCACTCATTGCCATTTTATTTCATTGCATGCACGCGCGCACACGCGCACACACACACACACTCACACACGCACATGCACAAAGGGGAGGCTACAATGTACACAGTCAGCCTCTTTGTACCCAGCACTGCTTCTCTTCTAAGTCATCTCTGCTGTTAGAGACCAGTGTGCAGATGGAGGGGAAGGTATGGTGTCAGCACCAAAGTTATGGGTCCACTCCAGAGAGTTCATTCAAAGGATAATCTGATCAGCAAAATTTGAGACAGGCCGGTATATGCATTCTTTTATCATCTAATTCAAAAAACTCCACAACACAACTTGGATGAAATCGCCAGTATCAAAGGTCCTAATGTAGCATAATTTGTGTTGAGCATGCTGCATTGTGACAGTGCTATAAACCAGTGAGACAGTTTACTGACAATTCTGTGCTACCAGATACCAACTCAGGCCTCTGTCCAGCTTTACATTGTCAACTCTTGTGGAAACATGAGCAGTTACACAGCCTCAGAGGACGCTGAAGTCTGGATTGCAAAAGATGAGATGGACAGATTTCATATTTTCATTGCAGATTTTTTTTTTTGCCTTTTCAAACTGCTGAGCATAATTTTTTTTAAAGGCAGGAAATGCAACTAGTGTTTGTTTCTAGCATGGCTTCTGTTTTGAGATTTCTTCTTTGTAGAAGAAATGTGTTGCCCAGCTGTCTAGAATCCCAATCAGGATATGGCTTCAGTATGAAATATATTAAAAGAATGATTTTAGCTGGTTATAAGCAGGAACGAAAATGAGGCTGGGCCTATTTTATCCAGTTTTTACTCACAGAGGGGGCATTCTGGTTCAGTCCAGTGGGGCCAATAGGAATAGATGAAGTAAAGCTAAGTTCTGGGGGGAAGGGGGTTGCTTTATTTTTTACTTTTTTGTAATTATTTTGTTTGTTTTTGTTTCTGTTTTTGCCTTGGAAGGAAGAGTAATTGTGAAACATAAAGGTTCATATAGTGAGCAAAAAGAGCTGAGGAGATTCTCAGTTATAAAGATTCTCAGAAATAAAAATCATGTGTCCACTGGCTAGAAGTATTGCAGTCAACACTTAAAAGGGTAGTTCAACCCAAATTAAACTGTTGGAGGATTTAATGCTTCTCAGTATTAATATTTTTCCTATTTGCAACACACACACATTATTCAACAAATATTAATTAAAACCTCTGTTTATGCACACCCTAGGGCTACTGTTGGTTAATGGGGTAAGAGACAAAGATGATTCCAGTCCTACCTTTTAAGATGTACAGAGATTGTTGCAGAGACAGATATTTCAACCAGTATTCTATCCTTAACCAACTTAAGATGTTTTAGTCTGCTTGTTTTCTAGAATATTTCCTATTTTTTATTTTTATTTTTTAAAATTCATAGTTTTTTAAAGAAAAGTTTCAGATTTACAGAAAAACTGAATGGAAAATATAGAGTTCCCATATACCCCTTCAACCCCCTACGCCAACACACAATTCCCCTATTTTTAACATTTTTTATTAGTGTGGTACATTTGTTACAATTGATGAACCAATATTGATACATTGTTATTAACTAAAGTCTATAGTTTACATTAAAGTTCACTCTTAGTGTTGTGTATTACATAGATTTGACAAATGTATACTGACATTTATCCATTATAATATCAAACAGAATAGTTACATGGCCCTAAAAATCCCCTGTGCTTATTGATTCATCCCCATCTCCCCCCAGATCCTTTGCTACCACTGATCTTTTACTGTCTCCATAGTTTTCCCTTTTCCAGAACGTCATAGTTTTGGAATGATACAGTACAAAGCCTTTTCAAGCTGGCTTCTTTCACTTAGCAATATACATTTAAGGGTCCTCCAAGTCTTTTGGTAACTTGAGAGCTCATTTCTTTTTATCACTGAATAATATTCCATTATATGTATGGGCCACAGTTTTTTTTACCCATTTACCTATTGATAGACATCTTGGCTGCTTTCAAGCTTTATCAATTATGAATAAAGTGGCTGGAAATATTTGTGCACAGGTTTTTGTGTGAACACAATCAAGGAGCAATTGCTGGATAGTATGGTATAAATATGTTTTCCTAAGAACCTACCAAACTCTTTGAAAGTTCCAGTACCATTCTGCATTTCAACCAGCAGTGGATGGGAATTCCTTGTTGCTCCACATCCTTGTCAGCATTTGTGGCTGCCAGTGGCTTAGCTTTTGGCCATCCGAACAGGTGTTTAGTAGTATCGCATTATTGTTTTTTATTTGTTTGTTTGTTTTTATAAGATTTTATTTATTTATTTGACAGAGAGAGACACAGCGAGAGAGGGAACACAAGCAGGGGGAGTGGGAGAGGGAGAAGCAGGCTTCCCATGGAGCAGGGAGCCTGATGCAGGGCTCGATCCCAGGACCATGGGATCATGACCTGAGCCTAAGGCAGACGCTTAATGACTGGGCCACCCAGGCGCCCCTCGCATTATTGTTTTAATTTGTAATTCTCTGATGATATATGTATTTCCTAATTTTTAATTCTCTTACCTATTACATATTTTTCTAACATCTGTGATTTTGACCTTTATGTTTCAATCATTCATTTATTCAATTATTTATCCACATGCATTCAGTGTCTACTATATGCCAGTAACACTTTTCAAAGCTAGGCTATTTTTCTTTCTTTTACCCTCTTATTATTCTTTTTTCATTTTCAGTTTGTCATATTCCACTAATTATTTATTTCACATAAACTGTTAGTTTGTTCCTCTCTCTAGTCTATTAATCTCCAAGTAAACTGGCTATCTCTTACTTCTCTGGTGATAATTGTTTCATTTCTTCAACTTTCTCTTGTTCCCTTCAAAACTTTCATCATTATAGATTCATAATACATACAGCACAGAGTCTGTATTGCTAGAGATGAAACTACTGAAAAAAATGAAGTGAAGAAATCACTTACCTTGGTTGACAATAAATCTTAACTTCTGTATTGTTGCCAGATTGCCACTAACTCGGTATATTCCATCAACATCGAGACCTGAAAATAAAAGGGCATGTTTTATATTTGCTCATAAAAGAACTGAGAGGGTAAAAGCAAAAAAATTAAATGTGGGAAGGAAGGTAATAGTAAATCAATGCCAAATATCCTTTCCTCATAGAGAAGACAAATTTCTATGTTCTAAACCAAGCAATCTTCAATAGTTTAATTTCAACAAACTATTCATAAATTCAGTCATAGTCAATCATCAACAAATTTGAATCTAGTTTAATCATAGAAGTGTAATAGGTAGCATTGGATTTCACACTATAGTTAAGATTTAGTCCCAACACAGGAATTAAACTGGTGGTAGGTAGGAGAAAAACCTTCACTTATATATTATTGCCCCTTTCTGGACAGAAAACAACCCAAGGCATCTGTGGGATCTCCTTCCTTCCTACTTTCCTCCTTCCCTCCTTCCTTTCCTTTCTTATTCTATTCTATTCTATTCTATTCTATTCTATTCTATTCTATTCTATTCTATTCTATTCTATTCTATTCCATTCCATTCCATTCCATTCTATTCTATTCCATTCAGCCCCGTCCTGTTTCATCCCATCCCGTTTCATCCGATCCCATTCAATTCCATTCTCTTTTTTCTTGTAATTCTATAACATAGTATGCATTGGTCTAATTATTTTAAACTAGAAGAAAATTCTAGGGCGCCTGGGTGGCTCAGATGGTTAAGCGTCTGCCTTCGGCTCAGGTCATGATCTCAGGGTCCTGGGATCGAGTCCCGCATCAGGCTTCCTGCTCCTTGGGAGCCTGCTTCTCCCTCTGCCTCTCTCTCTCTCTCTCTCTCTCTGTCTCTCATGAATAAATAAATAAAATCTTTAAAAAAAAAAAAAGAAGAAAATTCTATTCCAGATGTATAAATAGTTTGATAATCTCTAGTATATTACAGGTAATGGGGGTACTCTCTTATGGAGGGATAGTAAAGAAAAAAGTCTTTGACAAAATGCTGAAATTAGTTTCAGAGTATTTTAAAACTGGTCATCTATCATTCAAAATAACTTATCCTGGCAGTGGATTTGGACGATCAACCACTTGTTTTCCACACATCTATTTATAGCATCTAGTTATTTCCATGACCAAGTTATTGAAAATTGAGGAAACAGGAAAATAGAAAGAGAAACACTTACTGAAACACTATTATTGTCCCTAAGGAATGTGGATAACATAATTTTAATGTCAAGAGTGTATATTCCTTGATGTGTCCAGGCCCTCAGAGAGGCCAAGGATGAGGTTACCACCCAACTATCTCAGCTATTTATGGAAATGGCATAGCACCAAGATTAAACATTGTAATTCACAATCATACGTATTAAATGAGTTGGTAGAAATTATTGTCATAATATAAAAGAATAAGGGCTTTGTAAAGCTCTTTATAGTAGGAATACTTCTGCCATTGTGCAAAATATTTCATCAATAGTTTAGGGTAGAATAACATAACTTGCAACACTGGCATTGATGGTATAATTCAAAATAATCATTCACTATTTTTTAATATTTTATTTTTTTAGAGCAGTTTTAGTTTATAGCAAAATTGAAGGGAAGGTACAGAGATTTCCCATATGCTTCCTGTCCCTCATAGACGCATAGCCTCCTCCATTATCAGCACCCCCCACTAGGGTGATACATTTTCACAATTGAGGAACCTACATTGATACATTATAATCAATGTTTTTTGTTGCATTATGGTTCATTTTGGTGGTGTACATTCTGTGGGTGTGGACAAATACATAATGACACGTATCCATCATTATAGAATGATACAAAGTATTTTCCCTCCCCTATAAATCCTCTCTGCCCTACTATTCATCTCCATGATTTTTACCCTTCCATGTGATAAACTACAGAGCAGTTTGGAATAACATCAATAAAATGGAATAGTTGTTAGCAAATGTATTAATTGGTTTGAGTTTTGTAGTTCTAGAATAATCTAATAATAAATCACTGTCTCTGTCCCTTCATGAGAATTATGAATTTGTGAGGAATTAAGATGAGGTTGGACACCTTTTAGTGTGTATGAGTGTCTAAGACACATCATATATTTATAAAAATCACATATATCATTTCGTCCTAATGCACAAAATAGCTCCATTAATCAAAAGTTACTCCAGTGTGTTTGCTTTTAAGTACAATGTGCATTTGACAACTGAAATGTAACACTAATCCTAATTAAAATTTTTCTAATAGGTAACTCCTAGGTTTAGTATGTGACCATTTTGGTCTTCAGTATATACATTATATCCAGAACTTTATAATTTATTACCCATTACTTTTCTTGTTTTGTCATTAGCTAGTGTTTGGTACCTAGATTTACCCTAAAAATTTTAAATAATATGATAGATTTTAGAAATATTAAAACTTCCAAGTAAGTATGTCCCTTTCAAAATATTTCCTCTTGGGGTTATACTTATTTTTTTCTGAACATGTAGCTATTAGGGAAAATAAAATCACCTTCAGTGGCTCCATATTATCTGTAGAAAAATTTTTCTGGTGGCAAGTTTGGGGTCTTTGGTAATAGTTTTGTAATTGGAGCTAGATAAAGGTCATTCAAAACCATGGTTGGTGAATAATGTCAGCCTGCTTGCCATCACAAACAGACAAAATTTCACCAAATAAAAGTGGTCTGGTATTTTCCCATGAGTTACCAGTTTCTTTGAAAGAATGTGAGAAAGAGGATATTTTAGTAAATAGAAACATTGATGTAATATGCAGACCTACATTCTCCAAGTGAGAAATCTTAATATGATTTTTATAGAATTGGTTAAATTAGCCCTATTTAAAATAATGATTCAAGGTGAAATGTTGTTTAAACTCTGTTACAATACAAACAAGAAAATTTGCTATATAATTCTTTTTAAAATCAGTTTTTGTTTTGCTAATTAATTAGTTGGACCCTTATCAGAGGTCAATAGTAAATGATGTTACTTGAATGTCAATGAATTTTTGTTGCAAATAAGGACTTTACTTAAGTTTTACTTTATATGCATATCTCTTTATTCAAGGTATAAAATCAAGCACATTTCTATTTTGAAGCTGGGACTCTTTCTTTTCTAATTATTTTATATGTTATTGTAAATGCATATGTTGTCTAGAGGTGTAAGCTGAATTTCAATTACTAAAATTACCCAGGATCGAAAACTTTCTTTTCCTTTTCTAGAAATTTAAAGTTACAACATAAGAAGTACCCCCCCACACACACACACACTTGGTGTTTCATAAATTTCAGTAGAAGTTTTTTCTTTGTCTTTTTTTTTTTAAGTTGGGTAATCAAAAACATTTGAAAGAGCAGTATGGGTTGGATATATTACGCTTGAGCAATTGGAAAACACTATACTGTTTAAACAAAGCAGCCTCATCCTAAATAATAACCCAGTTTTGTTCTGGGATAAAAGGAGGGAGGGCTGGGGATGGAGACAGGGAGTGTAACTCAGACCAGTGCCACCACTGTGGTTATAGAACTAAGTCACAGCAGAGAAACTGCTTTGTGGCTTAAGATAGAAACCAGAAAGTAAGAGGGAGTAAAGCAAAACATTAGATGCAATTTGAATCTAACTTGATACAACTTCCAAGCCCTTTGGATTCAGAGATATCAACACCATATATCTTGTGAAGGATAACAGTCTCTGGCATTAGGGCTCCTGCTTCAAATGGCTTATGCTGCCCTACTATCATACTTTCTAAATTACATAAATAGAGTGAAAATGACAAAGTACATATTAAAAAGGAGGGCATGACATTTTGCAAAATAATCTGGAACATATCAGTGAATTTTAGCAGTGATAAATTATATAGGTACAGTCTTGAAGTTGATTAGTCTTCCCCTGAATGCCTCACAGAGTGGCAAACCCAAAGTCCTAGGAATTATGACCCAAATTGCAATGATTCACGTGCCATCCTCTTTTTGCTCCAAGAACTTTGAAAGTCATGCCAAACCAAACCAATGTAAATTGGTGGATTTGGACATCCTTTTCATGACCACATTATCCTTGCTGAATTGGGAACTACTTATTTTGGAAATATAATTAGACCTCTTATGATTTTTAGATGTGCAATGTCTTCAAGGTACCCATGCTGTGCTTTGGTGAAGTTTGGAGAAAAATCACTTTGAAAGGTACTTCTTTCAAGAAAATACCATGACTGGATGCTGAGAAGAACTTTTCTTGTTAAGCTAAAAATACTTTGGGAACATGGTGAAACTAAGTCATTTTCATTTTTTTTTTTTTTTAACAAACTGGCATCAATGGCAGTAATGAAAAATTCTCTGAAGAAATCCATGTTCACTGAAAGGTCATTTATTTGTTCATCATCAGCTGACCATCTAAAGTTTCAAAATAGTGTTTACCATTGACAGAAATCACTGGGTATTGCTATAGGAGACTTTCAGAAGTCTCTCTCCTCTAGCCCCCACCTTTTCTTCTGAAGAAGCTTAGACTAGGATAGACACACAATTAGGAGTTATTAGACCAAATGGTGGTCTAAACCCAGTGGAAAGAATGCAGCTGTCATGAGTAATTCCCACTATAAATCTTAGACACTTTCCAAAAAGAAATCTAAGAGACCAGCACTGTTTCCAGAGTTGACTGGCTTATCTGCCAAAATACAGGCAGTTTTTAACAATGCAGATGAGCCTGTTAAAAATAGTTGCAAACTGTGGATTAGGTAGCATTCTTGGTAGCTTGAATGATGGGCAAACCACGAAGATGTAGAATTTGAGCCTGGTTGAGAGGTGTGCCCCAAAAGCTTGCTTGTTTTTCTGGAACATAACAAAATGCATCTGAACCCCTGGAGTCTGAATTGTGGGCTGGGAATTTTGCACAAACAACCCCTCTCCTGAGATTTACGGCACTTCCTAATTCCTAGGAGGCCAGAGCTACCGCAAGAAGAGTCATTCTCGCAATTCTTTGGTCTTCTGGCTTTTCCCTCTGGCAAAAACCAATGAGCATGGGAACACCCAAATGCCCCCAAAGAGCTGCACATTTCTTTTTTGG